CAATAGATACACATTATTCACGTAGTTCATTATTAGGTCTAAGATGTCAGCCTTCTTTTACCAAGAAACCTGTAGCTATAATCAGGAAACCTCAAACAGTAGTACTCAAGAAACAACCATGCAAAGTAAAAGAATGTATTCAAACAAAATCTCGTAGACGGTCGACTAAATGTAAAAGATGGCCTCAAGTTGATGTAACAAAACAAGAAGAAATAACTAACCCTTTATTGGAGACAATACATGATGTGATGAGACGTTCTCACATTATTTACAACATCATTCTTGTATACATCCGCTTAGCCTTAACGTCCCAATCATCAGTTAAGATAAGAATGCATGAAGAATTTAGGCACTATGTTAAAATATACCGTCTTACTCACATTGATGAGTTACGTAAGGAAAATCCAAGTGTGACAATTCTCCCTTCAAGAATAAAATATTGGCAAAGGTTTTGTTATGAATTTCGATATGGTGTAGACCAAATCTATTGTGCAAGACAATTGAAGATTGCAGAAGAAGTATTTCAAGATATTGTTAAGAATACCAAACACTTAGACAGTTTATTTTATGTTTAATTGCAGAAAGACGGCCCAGGCCTGACTTACTAAAATGAACAATTCACTCCTTTTCGTCTTACTAATAATAGGTAGTGTTAAAGCAACTCTCATCAGACAAAACGTAGTCTTTGAGAAAATAAATGATGTCACAACTACTAGATCTAAATGGTTAGTCGCATTTGTCTTAGACTTAAATCCGTACCAAAATATCTTAGCCAAATTAAACAACAGTCTTTCTGAAATAAGTAATGAGATTTATGTTGAATCTCAAGTGTGGCAGTTACACCCAAAAATTGACCTTAATCTGGCCTATAACTTACTAGTACTTCACCATGAAGTTAAAAATTTAAGACAAACTCAGGAATTCTTATAAGAAGAACTTAGAAATATAAAAACACTACATCAGACTCGAACTAAAAGAGCGTTGATTCCAATTGTAGGTAAGGCACTGTCCTTCCTTTTTGGTACATTAGATGAAGATGATATTGATACAATCAAAACTAATGTTAGGACCTTAAGAAATAATCAGGTACACCTTCAACATGTTGTTAAGGAAAGTTTAACTATCCTTCATACTGCCCAAGGCCAAATAGCAAATAACAGAAAGAATATTAATGAAGTAATAGATACTTTAACTGATCTAGCGAAGTTAGAGATGAATCTTAGTCATTCAGTTCAAGATATTGACAAATACTTACATACGTATACAAAGATAGATAGAGCCTTAAGTGAAGCTAAGGAAATAGTTGGTTTAGCTAGAGATTACTTAAACCACTTGAAGCTTCAAATTAATATGTTGTCTCTTGGACATCTCTCGCCAACTGTTATTGCACCCCCTGACCTAAGGAAATTACTAATTGATGTTAAAAGTAAGCTAAGTATGAATATGCAAATTCCTTTTGACCCTGACGTAGACCTTTGGACATTTTATAAGACTGTGACTTGTACAACCCTGATTGGACAGGACGACTTAATGGTAGTCATTGCCATTCCTTTGATTGATATATCAGATAAATTCACTGTGTATAGAGCACACAGTCTTTTATTACCTTATTTGGAAACAAACCAAACAAATCTTTTGGCCTCTTATAGATTAGAAGCAGAAGCCTTGGCGGTGAATGAAGCCAAGACACAATTTGTTATCTTATCTCTTGATGAAGTTAAGGAATGTGGAGGTAGCGTCAAGAAATACTGCAGATTTCGTAATCCAATATATACTTTAGTGTCAAACGAAATGTGTATAATATATCTTTTTATGGGATGGATTAAAGATATTGATAAGTACTGTACCACAGTGGTGCAAGCTAGAACTTCAACTCCTCAAGCCCAACACTTGTCTGATGGACACTGGGTAGTTGTTTCAGAAAAATCATTGACCTTTCATCTAAAATGTCCTATTACTTCCTCTTTAGACAGCCTTAGCACGAAAAGTCCCATTGATATTATAAGCTTAAATGAGGGCTGCTCTGCTTCAAATGAGTTCATGACCTTACCATCCTTTCATCATTATGAAAGTACTTTTAACTTGTCTAATGACTTTAACGCCTTAATACATAATTACTTTATGGGATCAATTAAACTATGGGAGCCATTTTCTCAGAAATTTCCAAATATTACTTCAATCAAAATCCCTCCAAAGTTGAAGTCTATAAAAGAAATTCCTATTGATCATTTGATTTCAGAACTAGATAATATGCACAAATTGGTTCTTATGGAATCAAATAATTCTATCCAAACATACCTCATAATTGGAAGTGTAGTCATTGCTTTCTTAGTGATAGGATAATGCTTTCGGCATAAAATAAAAGATAAATGTCAAAATTATAGGAATAGTAGGTATAGTAAAAGGTCAGTTGTTAAGGGAGATTTGGAGTTGAGTTCTTTACCAATGCCTTATTTGCCTCGTCGAGAGCCTGATGTACCACAAGATTTACCAAGGCAATCTAAGGTTACAATGGCACCACGCTTACATCGCCACAGCACTTCTGAAGTAGACTTCCCTAGACCGGATTCGACTTTCGACAGACGACTTGCTGAATTGTGTTTAAAAGAATTGACAATCTTCCCACCTCAACTCAACTTAAATGGGAACCGGGAAGACTTACAGGTGATGTCAGGTGAACCTGACAACGACGACAACGTTGAGGGCGGTGCAAACCCCTCATCACCAGGTGGAGTAGCAGAGGAGGTAAAAACAGTAAAAAATAACCCTCTGGTATCCACCAGGAAGACAGTGATACAGGATCTTTATCCTGATATAAGAAAGGAACTGGACGGGAACTAGTCCCTTTGGCATGTCCTTCGTGACAATAAGGATAATTAAGGATAAAGTCACGTGAATTTAACAAGACTGACTACAACACATGTATACTTCTGTATCTGTTATACTAACTGTGGAAGAACAGAAGATGGGATTCTTATGAACATTTCGTGATTCTTATGAACATTTTAAGATGGGAAATGTGGTGCAACTTTCCAGACGAAATGTGATGGTTTCTAAAGGAACTATATTATTATATGGGATATCTCCATGAACTGATGTGAGGGTCACAGTGAAATGACTATTGGGACAAGATTGAGTGACTTTCGAATAATTCGGAACAGATTGAGTGACTTTCGAATAATTCTCAGTATATATATTATTAAGTGACAGTAAATTATAACCGTTGTTAGGGATTTATAAACAGATAAATAATTTGTTAATTTAAGTAGATAGTTAAAATAATGCTTGCATGTAGCATGCGAAAGATTGGCGTGTGAAAGCTGTAAGAAAGTAAAGGTAAAAGTCCGTATTAAAGAACAGCACCAAAATTTCGCCTTGATATTGTTAAAAATTGTTGAGAAATATAGTCAGTAGTTTAGTACCGCCTATATTTCTTTTGTGTATGGGACGGATGTGACACTATCAAGTAGATCACTCTGTTGTTAAACCGGAAATGGTTATATGAACAGGAAGCAGTATTTTATTGTATATAATGTTGGTTGGAAATTTAAAATATGAAAATAATAATTTCCATGAATTTATTGTTGTTTAATTTGGCTTATAACAGGAATTGAGTGTTAAATATGTACAAAGTATATAGCACCAAATATGACCTTTACCTGTCCAGCATTGCATAGCCAAGTAGGGACTTATGTAAACAATGGTAGCCAGAATTCATATAAACAAATGTGATGTGTATATATAAACAGTGCAGTACAGTTAGAGTAACGATGATTGTATCATTATAACATAAAATATTTCAAGGTCATGAGAAAATAATAGTTTAGATAGTGAATTGTATATAGTTGCTTAGTACAGCATTATGAGTATGTAAGATAAACATGACCGATTTAGCAGATGTTAGGTTCTGCGTAATTGTTAAGTATTTGATTATTATATATGTAAATAGTGACCAATATGCGGTGGGTCTGAAGACTGGTAGTACCAATTGTCATTCCAGACAATAGCTTCCTGGGATTGGGGAATGGACCAATCAACGGTCGTTGCACTAAATGTGCATCCCCAATCCATCAGCACTTATCCCATACACAATAACAAATGGCGCCAAGATTCTGCATTTTGTGTCCAAATCGGTATAATTTTGACAGAATCTTGATATGGTTGGGTCGCCAGGATCAACCATTGTTCTAGAGGAATTTCCACCTGCGGAGTTGTCCGACTTTTGGCTTCCCCTATAAATACTGGGCAGTTTTCGCTGCTCATTGCACTTGGATCTAGGGATGCCAACGGGACAACTTCCGGTTGTGGGACTGACTCTACGGAAGCGTGATAGGGAGCGAGCCTTCTTGTGGACTTCACTGTGCTATATAAACAACAAGTAGAAAGGAATTTGGACTTGGCTTTTTCTTCGGGAAACACAACGCGAGCGGGGGCACAGTGGGGTTACATACTTCCCTTCACATAGTTACATGTAAAAGTCGTCGGTCTTATATGATAGTTTGGAGATAAAAACAACAGCAACAAAAAAGTAAAATAAAATAAATTTCGAATGTTTTAATCATCGGCCATTCACACTAGCATTACGGTGAATCTAATTTTTTTTTCGTTTCCCGTCATTCTAATATTGACGGTCTTACTATTGGTCGGGGCTATAGTAGTGTCTGAATTTCTGCCTCATTTTGATGATGTACCTGCGCACTATACCCGCAAATTTACGATATGTTTTTATACGAAGGTGTACAGACTGGGTGCTAAAACTAATATATTTGTACAAATGTGTACAGAGACTGAGTCCTTAAAATTGATATATTTGTACAAACTGTACAGACGGAGTCCTTAAAATTGATATATTTGTACAAACTGTACAGACGGAGTCCTTAAAATTATCATTTCTACTGATGTGTACAAACTGGGTCCTAAATTTAAAACACCAAGAGACAGAGAAATCCTTTACTACTTAGAACATATCATCTATGTTCGTGATTATTTTCTTTTTTCAGGAAGTGGCAAGGTTCTTTGATGAAAAACACAAAGATCATTACAGAATTTACAACCTTTGCAGTAAGTTTTATAGCTTCTTGTCTTGTAGAATAGTTTTGTCCCAGAATCATTTCTGTATAGCTCCTTTTTGGTAAAACCTGATTGGTCATTGTGCTAAAGTAAGTGGTTAGGTAAAGTTCAGGCCTCTGGAGTAGCCAATCAAGTACCCAAACATTGTGTCTGTGTGTGAGTCGACCGGTCAAGGTCAGGTAAGGACACCGGAGTAGCCAATCAAGTACCCAAACTTTGTGCCTGTGTATGAGTCGACCGGTCAAGGTCAGGTAAGGACACCGGAGTAGCCAATCAAGTACCCAAACTTTGTGCCTGTGTTTGAGTCGACCGGTCAACGTGAGGTAAGGACACTGGAGAAGCCAATCAAGTACCCAAACATTGTGCCTGTGTATGAGTCGAACGGTCAATGTCAGGTAAGGCCACTGGAGTAGCTAGTCAACTCTTAAAACAGTCCCTGTGTATGAGGGGATAGGTCAAATGCAGCAGTTTTTTGTTTTAACCATGTGATTTCTTAACAATTGTTTTATATGCCACAGATAGATTTGAAGAATTTATATGACAATTCTGGAATGATCTGAAGCTCCTAATTTCTATATTCAAGGTGAGAGAGATTACGACGAGGAATTGTTCCATAACAGAGTGGAGAGGGTTTTTATAGATGACCACAACGTCCCCAGACTAAGGTAACTTCTTATACTTCTGAAAGGATTCAAATACCTCATTGAAGAAACAAATCAACCTGTCTTTAAATATTTTAACTTTGTGACTTTTAACTAAAGAATCAAATATTTTTGTATTTTCACTATCATGTTAAATGTATATTGTCTTCAATTATCACTGAAACTATATCTAAATGCTGAAATGATGTTTAACTATTGGCAGTGAGATGGTAGATTTCTGTGCCAATGCCCGAGAATTCATGAATGAAGATACTCAGAATGTGATAGCTATCCATTGTAAGGGAGGCAAGGGAAGGACAGGCACAATGATATGTACATGGCTCATAGACTGTGGTCTGTTTGAGGATGCGGAGGTAAGTCTTAAGAGAATAGGCAACACCTCTCTTAGAAAATGTTCTTATGAACTATAAAAACTTCACCAACTTAAAAATGCTAATCTCACCTGACAATTTGTAGAATATAGTGTCACAAAGTTTTACAGAAAAACTGCTTTGACTTACCGGTATGTAATATTAATATGTTCAAAATATATATTACAGGAAAGCCTTGGATACTTCGGTGACAGGAGAACAGATTTAACAGTTGGCAAGACGTTCCAGGGAGTTGAAACTCCCAGTCAGGTATAGATATCCTAAATGTTTCTGATATATGTGTGGATAAGTCAGTATTTTGCTAATTTTCTGATAGATTCTGACTCAATTAATGAACAGATACAAGTATTTAATTCAGTATTAGTTAGTGCTTTAAATCTTTACAATGCTTGTCCATAGAAATATGATAAACTGAAAATTTAGTATTGATGTAAACATGTTTTTTTCTGATTGCTACTTTGTAGAGTAGATATGTTGGATATTATGAAAAGGTGAAGAAAGATTTAGAAGGACAACTACCTCCACGAAAAGAGAAGAAAATGACATCTGTGAAAATTGAAGGTCTTACAGGTATATAAGACAAGGCTGCTGTGATAGCTGGATATAATAGAATTATCCCCTGCTACTCAGTAAAATGTCAATCATACTAATTCTGCCCCACCCTTTTATCTGGCACTTTGTCATCATTTAGGTAGTAGTGTTTCCAAGTAAACTTGAAACGTTGATTTTCTTTTATGTCATGGCATAGTTTGAAAATCATCTAGAAAGATTCAATTCAGCTTTACCCTTAAGGTTCACTCTCAAATAGGCTTCATTTTCATACTCTTAGAAATCACACTAACAGTCATATCTTTACCAAATATGGTGTCTATAGACTTACTGACACTGACATAGAACTCCTACCTACAGCTGTATTGTGTACCTGATGTCTATAGATTTACTGACACTGACATAGAACTCCTACCTACAGATGTATTGTGTACCTGATGTCTATAGATTTACTGACACTGACATAGAACTCCTACCTGCAGCTGTATTGTGTACCTGATGTCTATAGATTTACTGACATAGAACTCCTACTTACAGCTGTATTGTGTACCTGATGTCTATAGATTTACTGACACAGAACTCCTACCTACAGCTGTATTGTGTACCTGATGTCTATAGATTTACTGACACTGACATAGAACTCCTACCTACAGCTGTATTGTGTACCTGATGTCTATAGATTTACTGACTTAGAACTCCTAAGTACAGCTGTATTGTGTAACTGATGTCTATAGATTTACTGACATAGAACTCCTACCTACAGCTGTATTGTGTACCTGATGTCTATAGATTTACTGACATAGAACTCCTACCTACAGCTGTATTGTGTACCTGATGTCTATAGATTTACTGACATAGAACTCCTACCTACAGCTGTATTGTGTACCTGATGTCTATAGATTTACTGACATAGAACTCCTACCTACAGCTGTATTGTGTGCTTGTTGTAAATTTTACAATCATAATAGCAAGAGTGTAGGGGGGATGCTGATTATTGGTATTGATTGCTGTAGGTGTGGGGAATGGAGATGGTTCTGACTTTTCTATGGAGATTAGAGTTGATGGACTCCTCATATACGAATGCCGATTTGGCGATAATATTAATTGTCAGGTAGGTAAATTTCTCATCGTTGATGATAATGCTGATATACATGCAATCTTCCAAATAAAGAATTTGTTTGTTCCTCACCTGTTAGTGAATAATACAAACTAACTTGACCACCATATAGTATTTGCATTATTACGTTGATGGTTTGTCCTGTCTGTGCTGTTATGAGTTCATTACCTTGACAGTTCCTTGGAGTGGAAACTCCTCCGGACGCATTAGCATGGTCATTTATCCACGAGCATCAGAGCTCCTCTGAGTTCATCAAGTGGACAGATTCTTATATACAGTCTGAGCTCCTTTGAGCTCATTACCCAGACAAGTTTTACTAAATACTTAGCTCATTAACTGGAAAATTCTTCCCATAGTGTTCGAGCTTCTCTGAGCTTATTACTTGGAAGTTCTTCCCATAGTGTTCGAGCTTTGTTGAGCTTATTACTTGGAAGTTCTTCTCATAGAGTCTGAGCTTCTCAAGGCTCCTTATCTGAATAAACCCTTACAAAGTGTCTGAGTACTTCTTGGCTCAATACCTGGACAGTTTCTGTCTCAAGTGTCTGAGCATCCCTGGGCTCATTACCAGAACAGATCCTGCCATAGTGTCTTAGCTCCCCTGGGCTTGTTACCAGGACAGTTCCTGCCATAGTGTCTTAGCTTCCCTGGGCTTGTTATCAGGACAGTTCCTGCCAAAGTGTCTTAGCTCCCCTGGGCTTGTTATCAGGACAGTTCCTGCCATAATTTTTAGCTTCCCTGAGCTTGTTACAAACACAGTCCTTGTTACCAGGACAGTTCATAGTGTCTGCGCTTATCTGGGCTCATTACCTGGAGATTTTTTTCCCTAGAGTCTGAGCTCTTCTTGACGCATTACCTAGATAGTTGTTGCCATTGTGTTTGAGTTCCCCTCGACTTGTAATCCGGACAGTTCCTGTCATTGTGTCTTTGCTCATCAGGTCTCATTACCAGGACAGCTGCTACCATAGTTTCTTACTGGAACTATCCCAGGCTCATTACCTGGACAGTCCCTGTCATATTATCCGAGCTGCTCTTATCTTATTACCTGGACAGTCCCTGTCATAGTGTCTTAGTGTCTTCTGGGCTTGTTATCAGGACAGTTCCTGCTATAGTGTCTTTGCTCCCCAGGGCTCTGTACCAGGACAGTCCCTGCTATATTGTCTGTTAAAATATGAATTTTAGCTTCCTTTGTTAGGTCACAAGTGTACAACCTAGCAGTAGTGTATTTGTCATTCAGAACATGGAATCCCAGGGAGCTTTGAATGTATTTTTGCTTTTGATTGTTCTATAATATCACATGATCACAGTATCTTACCTGCTCATGCATTTACATGAGGCAGTCATAAGACTCTTAAGCTCTAAGGGTTATTTACTGGGCATTTGGTCTAATAGGGTTTGACAAGTCCTTCTGATCTCCTCCTTATTTTTTTATAGTTCATAATCCACCCTATATTAAAACCTCTTTTAGATATTGACTGTATGTTACAGAAGTGTAGGTAAAATAGGTTACTTATGATGATATGTAATTACAGATGATGAAATACACTGACAGTGATAGTATTGTTGTAAACCTGCAGAACTCTCCAACCTTATTCGCAGATGTCAAACTTCGCTTCTTTTCATCTGCAGTAAGTATTCTTTTCATTATTAACCATTTCTTCTTCTGGAATCAGATGGTGATCTATTCGAATATTTCTGTGGTTCATCTAGTCATCTCTCTGTCTTTTTTTTGTAAATTTTTTGCTATTTCTTGAGAAACATCAGACATGCCTACAAATGAATGTTATTTGTGAAAGGAGTTAGTTGTTCTGCTGTTACTAAACCAGTATATACTGGTCTACTGTATTCACATGCACTTTTAGGTAACACTTTTTGATATTCACATATGTAACAGAGGTCATTTTTATCTAAATGCCTCCGCTAGGAATCGAACTCGGGCCCCCTGGCTTACTAGTCTGACGCTCAACCAATCGAGCTAAGGAGAAGTTCTCTCTAGCCGAGTGGTATATTGCGGCTAGTATTTTACCAGGGTTACATACTCCCCCTTCAGGAAATAACTCGAGTGGTATATTGCGGCTAGTATTTTACCAGGGTTACATACTCCCCCTTCAGGAAATAACTCGTCCTCGAGTTTCCACTGGTTACAGCGACGCCGCTGGGGCATGGCTAAGTACTCATCCCAGGTCCCTACATGGGCACCAATGTAACAGAGGTCATTTTTATCTAAATGCCTCCGCTAGGAATCGAACCCGGGACCCCTGGCTTACTAGTCTGACGCTCAACCAATCGAGCTAAAGAGTTCCCATTGGTTTGGGGTCCCTGGTACAAATAAATCCGACGGATGAGATGGTGGTCTAGTGTCTTCATTTATTTTTTTTTATTTACTCATCTCATACTTAATCCCTACAACAAAACAAATAACATTGTAGAGTAACTAAAGGTAAAAGCAACTATATGAACAATTATGAACAGAACATTCGGACGGGTACGCGTTATTAAAAGATACATTTCACACCAAATATTATTTAAAATCCACAAATTAAATTATCACAACATAGCATATGTATATAAAGATTACTCACTTGGCATGTGGTGCCCAGGACATTTCATCAGCAATGAATTGAAAAATATAGTTGATTTAGAGAAGGAATGTATATGTTCCTCTACCGGCGGTCAAAATCTTTATGGGGCTTTTGGCGGTAATGAGAAAGAAAGAAAGAAAAGAAAAGAAAAAGACCAGCACGCATGTCCAGTACTGTATCCGTCACCTGTCAAACCTGTTTACCTACATACGTCACACAAACTCACTCTCCGGACATTCACGAACTACACATAAAGTATACATAATAGGACTTTCACAATACAAAGCACAACATGGGATATGCCCCCCATATAGAAGTAACACGATGAGTGCACCACACGTACAATGCAAAACACAACACAACATGGGATACTCCCGTCGTAAATATGGCAAGACGAGCACAGTAGAAATACATTAACATATTAAAATAATTTAAATGGGTGCCACACATACACCTTTAGGTAACACTTTTTGATATTCACATACACCTTTAGGTAACACTTTTTGATATTCACATACACCTTTTAGGTAACACTTTTTGATATTCACATACACCTTTAGGTAACACTTTTTGATATTCACATACACCTTTTAGGTAACACTTTTTGATATTCACATACACCTTTAGGTAACACTTTGATATTCACATACACCTTTTGGAAACACTTTTTGATATTCACATACACCTTTAGGTAACACTTTTTGATATTCACATACACCTTTTAGGTAACACTTTTTGATATTCACATACACCTTTAGGTAACACTTTGATATTCACATACACCTTTTGGAAACACTTTCTGATATTCACATACACTTTTAGGTAACACTTTTTGATATTCACATACACCTTTAGGTAACACTTTTTGATATTCACATACACCTTCAAGTAACACTTTTTGATATTCACATACACCTTTTAGGTAACACTTTTTGATATTCACATACACCTTTAGGTAACACTTTGATATTCACATACACTTTTAGGTAACACTTTTTGATATTCACATACACCTTCAAGTAACACTTTTTGATATTCACATACACCTTTTAGGTAACACTTTTTGATATTCACATACACCTTTAGGTAACACTTTGATATTCACATACACTTTTAGGTAACACTTTTTGATATTCACATACACCTTTTGATCAATCTGTGAATAGCCCACTATTACAACCTTTACTTATCTGTTTCAGAAAAACATCCCAAAAATTTATGACAACTGTGCCTTTTTCCTCTGGTTCCATACTTCATTCATTGAAAGTAATAAGTAAGTAAAAGAACCCACTTTACCTTTAAAACGCTTTATAACTTTCAAATGCATGAAGTTACATGTATCAATGTCGTACATTTTAAGCAATGGACAAGGAACATTTTTAATTTTTCCTTTTTACAAAATGGCCGATTCAAGTATGACAAAAAGACTTGGTAAAGAAGAAATGTTTGTAAAAATATTTAAACCAACTCTGAATGCAAGTTGCAAGAAAACGTTAGCGGAATACATTTGTCGTGTTGATTTGAATTTTTCAACTATTTAATCGATACACAAAGCATCTTTAAGTTACATCTATATATATATATATATATAAATTTAAATATAAGAAACACTTTGTATATTGTACATATAAGTATAAAAACAAATATGAACATGGCAAGTTAAGAAGATATGCTTGTCAGACTTTTCAACCCATCCCTAAATGCACACTAAAGTTTGTGCGGGGACACCAATTATACCGTTATTACCTCCCCTTATATTGCCTATAATATTACATCATGATGTACTATGTAACATACCTATGGCATCAATGCAATCGCCTGAAGATGGTCGCAAGGCTTGAAAACTTAAGTAATTGTGATTTTGAAACTTAGTTGCCATGTTAATGTTTTGCTTAAATATATATATATATATACATAGATAAATAAATGCAATTTAAAATATTACATAAAGTATGCAAATTTGGGAAATGAACAACATCAAAATAAAGAACATATTTTTTATCAATAAAAGAATTAATTTGAACCTTCAGTGTTTTGTTGCTGAAATGATAAGAAACGTGTTGTTGTGTACCTTTTTTCTACTTCGTTCTCTACATATATATAGAGTGGTATATTTTCACTGTATATTACTTGAACCTGTTGGTATCCATATTAATCTCTGGTTATTCTGTAGACTGCGTTTGACTAGAGATGAAATTGACAACCCACATAAGAAGAAAGCCAAAGAGGTTTACAGGGACAATTTTGCAGTGGAACTCAATTTTGAAGATGCTGATGAGGACTGAGGAGAATTTTTGATTGAGAGAGAAAAACTGACCCAGAGACAAATTTCAAGTGGACAGGGCTTCTGAATGTGGAATATTTTTAACTGTGGGAGAGTTCTGACCGAGGAAGGCATTTTGTAGGGTAAAAGTGGATTGGGGAGTTTTAAAATGGGGGGCGGGGGTTGCTTTTAGAGTGACTAAAGTTTGACTTTGGGATGTCTGATGAAGGTTGCTTGCTTTTTAGATTTTCTGCTTGGCAATAGGTTCCGTTAAAGAGGAAGATTCCTAAATGTGGGAAGGGTTTTGTGAGAGTTATTGTCTCTCTATGATTTTTAACTGTGTAAGCTGCTGTTTCTGACTTCAGAAGAATTTTGTCTGCGAGAGCTGGTGTTTCTGACTAAACTAAACAGCTTATCATTCTATCTGCCTAATACTCATTTATAATAGAGAAGAAGTATTTTTTCATGCTTTACATCTGTACTGCTTTAGTAATGGTTGTAGACAATTTTCATGGAATTATTATTTATCATGTCATTAGATATTGTCTCTAAAAGTTGCAATTTGGCTGGTCAGTGATCTGTCCATCTGTCCTTAAATAATTCTTCTTATTGCAATTTCTTGAAAAGTACTGGATGGATCTGTCTAATTTTATGTCAGCTCCCAATGGTCCCTAGTTTGCATGTTTACTTTTTTGATTGATAGGGAAAACAAGATGGCTGACAGGTGGCCATATTGAATTTTTTGGAAGTTGGTAGTTTGTTATTACTATTTTTGAGAACCACTTGATGGATCTTTCTCAAATTTCATGTGTAGACTCTCCTCAGAGCTTAGTTTTGCAGTGTTTACTATGGGACTGATTAGGAAACGAAATGGCCTACAGGTTGTCTAGGAATATGCCAGTTTCAGTTGGTTATCGCTATGTCTTGAGAAGTTTTAGGCAATTAGACAGATGGTAGAGAAGAGAAAGGATGAGAAATAATGCTAGTGATGAAGAACCAATTGAGATCACAATGGTGGGCACCAAGATCCTCCTGTGATCTCTTGTTGGCTTTTTCAATATTAATAATACCGTTTCATTTGACAATGCTTTGAATATATCGGGTAACACAAAGATCAGACGATATATTACTAATAACTAGAAGAAGAGTAGTTTTCTAATATGGCTGTTGACATGGTATGGATTCTTGGGACATAATTTTCAGTTAAGTCAGTCACACAATCAATATATATAAGTAAAATAAATACCATCTTGTTGTGGCCCTGTCAGCATTGTTTGGAAAATTTTATTTTTTTATAAACCAATTGGTTTATACCAGAAAAAAGGTTGAGATTCTGCAGCTGAGGTCAGTTGGTGAAATGTATTTAGATAATTTGAATTAATTGCATCATTCCAGTCGTTAATGATCTATTGTATATTTACAGAACAATGTATGTAGATGGAAACAATATCGCAGGCAATAATATTATCATATTATCTTTATACTGAGGGGGAAGTTATACTCAGGGTTGTGCCATTAGTGTGCTTTATTATATACATTCCACTGAAATAAAACTGAAGTCAGAAATGAGGAAACACTGTACTAGAATATGCTTTCTGCAGATTTAATTTTTGAGGTTAATTCTGCAGAGCTGTATGGCTGTGAAGATTATGACTTATCATTTTGATCGTAATTCAAATAATGTTTTTTTTTCATTGCAAATTATATTGATATGCTGTCCAATGTATTTGAAATAAGTTCTAGTCAATTTTAAGTGCCACACTAGTGTTTGTTTTAGATTTTATTTCTGTATATTTGTTGACTATCATTCTACAAATGACTAGAAAAAAACCTCACCAAACAATCAAAACAATGTGTTCTTAACATGATAGCCTCTTATAGGGTTTAGAAACACTTCAGGATGATGTGTAGCATTTGTAACAAGATTTGATATTTTTCTTTGTAGAATGACAAGTTTCAATGTTAAGATATTGGTTACTAGTGATGTAAAAGGAATGAGTCATTATCATTCCAACATAGTGTTAAATACATCTGACTAAGCACTATGATCAAGGAATGGATTATCACAGACCTGGAAAAAACTTCTGTTGTAGTATTCAACAGCATGCTTTTTTGGCTCAGTTGGTATACATGTAACTTTGGATTATCATACTGGAGACCCAAGTTCAATTCCTGTCACAGCACTTGACAGGAATGTATTCTGTCCTATTACATATATATGCTCTTCATTCTGGTCAATGTTGATAGAAAAATCTGTTTTCACAACGTAACAAAATGTTCAGAGGGGTTGAGTATCTGTTACTTTTCAATGTCTTGGTAATCTTGACGAGCATTACCATTGTCTAATCCTTCCCAAAAGGTTGATATGGTGATAAAATGTCCTATTAGTGATATGAAGTGCCTGCCTTGCCACTGTGTATCACACTACAGTACTTGTTAAATATTACTGTAGAGAATTGTATTATAATATAAACAGAATTGATTGTTGAACACATTTATTATCAATTTATGTTAGATTTCTTTTATTTTATATTAATTTGTCAAGTATACGAGAAGAAAGGTGCTAAGTTTTTTCATTACAATTAAAAACCTGTATGTAGGTCAAGGACAGTGTTGCTATTTTTAGGTGGAAATCGTATCATTTGTAATGTCTTGTCATGTCATGAATATCATTTTATAATAGAGACTTTTTCATTATGGAAATATTTTTTACTAACACAGATGTTAGCATTTATATTCTTACTTTTGTTGTGTATAGACATGCTGTGAGGCGACATTAAAATGGTAGCTTTTTAGACATCCTGTAAAGTGACATTAAAATGGTAGCTTTGTAGACATGCTGTAAAGTGACATTAGAATGGTAGCTTTGTAGACATGCTGTAAGGTGACACTGAAATGGTAGCTTTGTAGACATGCTGTAAGGTGACACTGAAATGGTAGCTTTGTAGACATGCTGTAAGGTGACACTGAAATGGTAGCTTTGTAGACATGCTGTAAGGTGACATTAAAATGGTAGCTTTATAGACATGCTGTAAGGTGACATCAAAATGGTAGCTTTGTAGACATGCTGTAAGGTGACATTAAAATGGTAGCTTTATAGACATGCTGTAAGGTGACATCAAAATGGTAGCTTTGTAGACATGCTGTAAGGTGACATTAAAATGGTAGCTTTGTATACATGCTGTAAGGTGACACTGAAATGGTAGCTTTGTAGACATGCTGTAAGGTGACACTAAAATGGTAGCTTTGTAGACATGCTGTAAGGTGACATTAAAATGGTAGCTTTGTAGACATGCTGTAAGGTGACATTAAAATGGTAGCTTTGTAGACATGCTGTAAAGTGACATTAGAATGTTAGCTTTGTGGACATGCTGTAAGGTGACATTAAAATGGTAGCTTTGTAGACATGTTGTAAGGTAATATGAAATTGATTGTGTGTAGACATGCTGTAAGGTGACATTAAAATGGTAGCTCTGTAGACATGCTGTAAGGTGACATTAAAATGGTAGCTTTGTAGACATGCTGTGAGGTAATATCAGAATGACCAATCAGTGTTACTATTTGTTAGGTCCAGATACTGACTGAAGAAGAATTTTTCACGGCAGCCAGAACTGCAGCACATATTTGGATATTAACCTGTTTTAGTAATTTGCATAAAGTTAAGTACCACAATGAGGTCTTTGGACTTGACAATTTGTTAATACACAGGAATATCCAGAAACTTTGATGGATGTAAATGATTATGTATTAAATAGTATTCGACCTCAGATTATAGTAGCTTTCTGTGTTGTCTGAAGTAAACTTAATCCCTTTTGGATTAACTTGTACAATTTATCCTGTGATTGTTTTTAATTTTCATTGTGTAGAAAACTGAATTTATTATTGATAAACTTTGAAATACATGAGGAATTATAGCCCTCCTATTTCTTTGCCTTATTTAAGGTTGTCACCTGAATAGGTAACAAGATATATATGTATATTACAATAAAAATTCTGATTTACAATCAAATCTTTTGAGTTTTACACTCTCAGTGACCCGAAACAGAAGATAAATTAGGGTGTTGTACATAAATCATGTCACTAAACTGCTCATTACGTTTGCATATATAAAGGCCTTGTCTGAAACTGTTTGACAATTACGATGGGAAAAAAATACAAACAGTATTCCTTCATAACCACATGCAGCTATATATTCTACCCAACTATACAACAAGCACTAACAACATGGGCCAGCAGTAGGACTGTACCCTCCAATAACCACATGTGTGGGACTGTAGTAAGGAATTGTGCCCTCAAATAACCACATGTGTGGGACTGTAGTAAGGAATTGTACCCTCCAATAACCACATGTGTGGGACTGTAGTAAGGAATTGTACCCTCCAATAACCACATGTGTTGGACTGTAGTAAGGAATTGTGCCCTCAAATAATGTGTGGGATTGTAGTAAGGAATTGTGCCCTCAAATAACCACATGTGTGGGGCTGTAGTAAGGAATTGTGCCCTCAAATAACCATGTGTGGGATTGTAGTAAGGAATTGTGCCCTCAAATAACCACATGTGTGGGACTGTAGTAAGGAATTGTACCCTCTAATAACCACATGTATGGGATTGTAGTAAGGAATTGTGCTCTCAAATAACCACATGTGTGGGACTGTAGTAAGGAATTGTGTCCTCAAATAACTACTTGTGTGGGACTGTAGTAAGGAATTGTGCCCTCAAATAACCACATGTGGGACTGTAGTAAGGAATTGTCCCTTTAAATAACCACATGTGTGGGATTGTAGTAAGGAATTGTGTCCTCAAATAACCACATGTGTGGGACTGTAGTAAGGAATTCTGTCCTCAAATAACCACATGTGTGGGATTGTTGTAAGGAATTGTGTCCTCAAATAACCACATGTGTGGGACTGTAGTAAGGAATTGTGCCTCCAATAACCACATGTGTGGGATTGTAATTAGAAATTGTGTCCTCAAATAACCACATGTGTGGGACTGTAGTAAGGAATTGTGCCCTCAAATAACCACATGTGTGGGACTGTAGTAAGGAATTGTGTCCTCAAATAACCACTTGTGTGGGACTGTAGTAAGGAATTGTGCCCTCAAATAACCACATGTGGGACTGTAGTAAGGAATTGTCCCCTTAAATAGCCACATGTGTGGGATTGTACTAAGGAATTGTGCCCTCAAAAAACCACATGTATGGGATTGTAGTAAGGAATTGTGCCCTCAAATAATCCACATGTGTGGGACTGTAGTAAGGAATTGTACCCTCTAATACCCACATGTATGGGATTGTAGTAAGGAATTGTGCCCTCAAATAACCACATGTGTGGGACTGTAGTAAAGAATTGTGTCCTCAAATAATCACATGTGTGGGACTGTAGTAAGGAATTGTGTCCTCAAATAACCACATGTGTGGGATTGTAGTAAGGAATTCTGTCCTCAAATAACCACATGTGTGGGACTGTAGTAAGGAATTGTGCCTCCAATGACCACATGTGTGGGATTGTAATTAGAAATTGTGTTCTCAAATAACCACTTGTGTGGGACTGTAGTAAGGAATTGTGCCCTCAAATAACCACATGTGTGGGACTGTAGTAAGGAATTGTACCCTTAAATAACCACATGTGTGGGATTGTAGTAAGGAATTGTGCCCTCAAATAACCACATGTGTGGGACTGTAGTAAGGAATTGTGCCTCCAATAACCACATGTGTGGGATTGTAATTAGAAATTGTGTCCTCAAATAACCACATGTGTGGGACTGTAGTAAGGAATTGTGCCCTCAAATAACCACATGTGGGACTGTAGTAAGGAATTGTCCCCTTAAATAACCACATGTGTGGGACTGTAGTAAGGAATTGTGCCCTACAGTAACCACATTTGTGGGATTGTAGTAAGGGACTGTGCCCTCTAATAACCATTTCTTGGGCATTGGTGAGGTAATTTACCCAAGTTAACCTCATGTATGTCATTACAGTGGGGAATATGTACTCTCTTCTAACAACTGAATGTGCGGGGCTCTGGTGAGGAATTGTACTCCTTAAAGACATTTGTTTTAAACATGCACAAAGATCATAACACAGGTCACAGTGACCTTGGTATGTTACAAAGCACTCCATCAACCGAAGATATTCCTATAGAGTAAGTCTTGTGATACAATATGAAACAGGAAAGGACATATGCTTAAGACATGTTTTTTTTCATGGAACAATTACATGGTCAAAATATGGGTCACAGTGATTGTATCTATGCTTACAACAGCTCCTATCACCAAGATGTTCCTTACAGCACTTTAGATGACCTTACACAAAACAAAGATATGGAGATATGCTAAAAAAGAAATTTTTATTTAAACATGGTTAAAGCGAGTGAAAGGCCCTTAGTGCCTTTATTGCTCTCCTGGTTTAGTTTGCTGAAATTGCTTCATCTAAATGAAAGTCATTGAAAGGTGTATATATTACCTCTTTTAGGCCATGCCCTTCTGCCCCTCGGGGATCAGATGGACCATTCACAAAAAATTAAGTTCCCCTTGCCCTAGGATCATTCAGACCAAAAATTGGGGCAAAATTCAATGATTCCTAAAGAATAAGAACAATTTTAATGAATTTACTCATTTCCCATCTGATGATTGTGGGCTTATAATTTACTCATTTCCCATCTGATGATTGTGGGCTTATAATTTACTCATTTCCCATCTGATGATTGTGGGCTAATAATTTGCTCAATTTCCCCTATTGGACCCTACTCCTTGTGCCAACTACTTTGATAAAATCTAATCTAATCTAAAAAAAAAAGTGGAATTTTATGGATTTTTCTATATATGCCATACCAGGCCCTACCTTTCCCACCCCTAGGGAGCTGAGACCCACAATTTATACAAAACTGATTCTACTTCACCACAAAATGTTGCAAACAAAATTCCTGCAAAATCCAATTATTCCTATAGGAGGAGTAAAATCTTAGACTTGAAAATTTGTCCTTTTTGACCCTGTCCTTAGGCCCCTGAGAACAGAGACATATCATTCATTTGGTCAAAATCTGCTCAGTCATTCATGACTAGTAGTGATTTTAAGTTGACGAACGGACAACAGGGCATGTCATAAGCTCAATTGGCCATAAAAAACATGCACATATTAGTCCAAAAATCAAAACTTAAAGAGTCAGACCCACTCCTTGACCGATTTCATTTTATTTTAAAAAAAATCAAGGATTTTGTATTTTTTTCGGGTAGCAAAAGTTCTGACTTACCCTGTATTACCGCAATTGTAAATTAAATTGCTACTAATCTAACTTAAAAAATAGTTTTAAAAAAGAATTTGAAACGACTCAGTGCTAATTCATAATTATGCGGGAAGTCCTGCCCTCTGATGCAGGCGCAAAGAACTGTAAATAAATCTGCCATCTTCCAATATGGCAGAAAGCGTGCGAGGGAAGCGGGGAAGAAAACGTGTTTTGACAGACTCTGAGGAGAAAAGAAGGAAGATAGCTGATTCATACTCTGTATCGCTCTCTGTTTGGCTCTCTTGTGTAGAATCACTCTAAAATCATATTGATAAATTCTCTTATCATCAAATATTCCATTTCGTGATGTTCTATATGTTCGTTACCGTATCGTAACCCCAATTTGAGGGCCTCTTTGCAATTAATCGTAGTTTTTGTGTCATATCTAAGCATTGAAAGATGTGATCGATACATACGTTAGATGATTTCCATACAGGATATATAGAGTATTGATTGCATTTATCGGTAAAATCTCTTTAAAAGCGATGTCACATGGACGTACTACTCACTTCTTCCTCCATTTTTGTTTTGGTTCTAACTGCATCTGAACGTATCACATGACTTTTCCTCATCAATATTCATATCCTGGTGTTGATTAATGAGACTAATTCCGGCACCGATATCTCCGGTACCCTTTCAATTTCAAGTTCGAAACTTTATACAAGTCTTTATTTATATATTATCTATTAGTATGCAACAACATTTCCAATGAAATATGAAACAATATCTATAATGGAGTGGGTCTGGCTCTATAAATAAAGAGTTACACAGTACACAATTCATTGTTCATTGTTTTAATTCAAAATAATCATAATTCTGAAGCCACATAAAGGTAGCACCTCTCACTTGTATACATGTGTATCAGTCTTAGTTTTTTTGTTTAAATTCACTTTGGAGGACCTTAGGAGTTGTTGTTCTTCAATTCAAGTAAGTATTTCTTTTTACCCTTGATAGCCTTAGTCACTACAGCAATGTCCTTAGTTATCTCCACGCATGCTGCTATGATTCGATCAGCATCCTCAGCCAGTTTCTGAGAAAATGAGAGAATGGATCAGCATCATTCATATATATCAAGAATGTACCATTCCACAAGTTATACTTCATAATTTAGACAAGTGTATGTTGTGTCGGGGCAACGACATCCCCCATCCTCATCCCCCTCCATATCAGAATACAACAGGGAATAATGATACAATATAATATAAAAAATTAAAACTATGTCTCCCTTTATCAGACTTCAGGATTTTCCATAATTTTGTTAGTAGTAGGCTGTGTAGTGAAAGTAGGAGGCTGGCCTGCCGTCTACGTGTAGTCGGGTACGGAACATTATTACAGAACTGGATTGGTGTAGGTGGCCAAATGATCAAAGCAGCCCGTCAAATTGGCCGGCGACCGGCTCTTATGGAAAACCCTGAGACTTGCTTAAGTTTTGTAGTAGGATCTGTGCAATTCTTTATCACAGACTAACCAGTAATTTCATTATCCTACACCTTGTAAATCTTTGTCAAAGCATTTAACCTTCACCGTTAGTCTGCATAATAAGAGCTAGTGGTAAATATAAAATAAATCAATAACAACTTATACATACCCCCTCTAGATCCACAAGCCCACCTTGTTTAAATCTTTTTAAATTTTTTCCATGTGATGTCAGCACTACTCTCACAGAAGTTCCTTTACAAAGACGCTGCTTCACAGCTGCAAGTTTTGTATTTAGGTCATTCTCATGAATATACACACTCAAATGGACTTCTTTCATCTTCTCAACTTTATATTTTGATACTTCTTTTTGAAATTCTGCGTTTGACAAAAGTTTGAATTCATCTATTTTCTCTGCTGATTCCTTTGGAATATGAAACAATTTCATCCCTTCCTTGTGTGCAAAGATATGAGCCATTTTTAGTGACATTTTATGTAAAAAATTATTGTTTGAATCTAGAACATGAACAAGTCTGGAGTCTGAATCGCTTGAGAAGGAACGTACCTCTCTTAAACTCAGAAAATCAATTGTTAGTCCTGGATTTATCCAAACAATGGTTTCAAATTTTGTCCTTTTGGGTATACAATGTGAAATGAAAATCTGTTGTGGACTATGTTTACATAGTGTATGGATCCTTTGGGAAAGTACAGACTGCATTTTACACAAATTTTGCAGTCTGCAAAAAGATTGCAAAGGAATCATTTTGTCCTCTTGTATAATTCTTCTTCAATGGCTCAGTGTATTCTTCAATGTACCATGTCTTAAAAAAAAGAAAACAAAATGGAAAGACATTAAATATTATTAATAATATTTCCTTGGTGCTTATCATCGCATCTTTTTTAGTTCTTTATCAGTTGATCTTTTCATTACATATCTATTCTTTCAAATTTATCTCAAAAACAAATATAGTCAAAAGCATGCACCAAAACGATGTCTATCGAGGACCTATAATCTGGACTGTTCGAATTCGTGGAAGTAAATAATTCCAGACTGTACATGGAGGACAGATGATATGGGATCTCGGTTGAGGATCACAAGATATCGACTGTCAGTGAAGGGCCATGATTTAGACTACCGGGATTAATATATTATTTGTTGGCATGAATATAGTCGGTTCCGAGTGAGTAAAGGACCATGATTTGGATTGTCTCTGGAGGACCCTTAAATGGTTCCGAACTGTTACTTGTTTAGAGGATCATGACCTTACGTACAAATTGCACGTAGCGATAGCCATACCTGTGTATTCCACCAATTCCAGTACAATACACGGAGTTAGGAATCAATGACCAATGACACTGTTCTTATTTTCGCATCAATGAAATAGTATTTAATTCAAGTAGGATTTTTAATACTAAAATACATTTGTATACAAATAAAATTTCTTTGTGTCACTATCCTAAAAATGTATTACGATTCTCATCGTTCGAAAGAAAAGGGCGAAACTAAAAAGCTGGCATTGAGAAATAAAATGGCTGCGGTAGAAGCACCCACGGCGCCAGTTGCAGCTGAAGATGACGAAGCCTGGCTTTATGGAGGTAATGTAAACGCAACTCGATCTTTATTAACTATGATTGCCAACGCTATAACAACAAAATAATCTGATGAAAAGGCAAGCTTGAATATATATTCAAGGCAACAACAAATACGGGAAACTAATGGCTGTTGAATGCCTCACAACGAATCGAACGGGTCTGCAGAGGGATAATCGACCGGCTAATCCAAAGATGCATGCTCCGTCAGCTGACAGAGACCGTATTTGACACTAGTTACAAGCCACGCCGACCCGCTCCTTTTACATTATTCCCCCGGTATTTCTTGAGATTTCCCGAATCTTTAATAGGAGACTCCAAATACATGGGATTTCGTTGGGCTCCAATGTCATACAATAAGGAAAATATACAATCCTGGGTCACCAGCGTGATAATCTAACGGCTCAACTGACAGTTGGTCGTTGGTAGAATCATAGACAATGTACTTCTCATCACAGAGTGTAGTAGTGATGGCTTTCAATGGTGCTAAACACTCCATTATGTCCTCAGCTAGATTGACCTCAGCATCATTCAAGTTTCCTTTATCATTGTCACTAAACTTGACCAACTGTTTGGATCTCAGAGCTGCAACAACCACACATTGCATCTCTAGGTAGCACTTTAACATGTAGGTGCTATTCCATCTCATTGGCACATCATTCTTTAGCTTGTGCTTTGGAAGGGAAAGCAGTTCTGCTTGACTCAACATTAATGCGTTGGCTGTAGTACGTCTGTTGAAGAATGATATAACAGGTCTAATTTTATCAAGAAAACAGTTGGCGGCTTTAGTTTTCAGACTTTTTTTGTGTGAGCAAAACATTTGAAATGTATTTGACATTTCAATAGCTGGCCGGCTTTAACAATGTTACTGGCATTGTCTGAAACAATAAGTAGAACAGGATCTCCTTTAATTCCCCACTCAATTAATGCCTCTCTCAGAACTTGCCCAAGATTCTCGGCTGAAAATAACTTGTTAGTATCTTGAATATTTTTTATACTCGTATAAATAAATTTGACATAGTGTAGCTTTATATGTCTTATACATAAATTTTCAATCTTATAATGTTTTTTTTTTTTCTTTATTCTTTTGAAAAATTTTCACTGGCATGATTTTTATTGAACATTTAATTTTATTTTGCTTTACAATTTACTATATATATACAATTTTATCAATTATATATTTTGTTAATCCATTTTATGTTGAATTTTTACTCTATATATTTTTCTGTTATTTTCAAAATTCTAACAATCAGTTACCTATCTGTGTGACTTTCAGACAGAATCCTTGTCTGTAGAACATAATTCTTCATTTCCCACTGTCAGGTTATGTTGCACAATGTCACTGTTATGTAGGACTGTGTTGCCCTGGAGGTCCAACCATCTGTGGTTAAAGCAATCTGAAAAAAAATAAATGTTGCTTTTTTGTAAAGTTTTAAAGGATTGAATTTATCAAAATTCATTAACATTGTTGATCTGATTACTGGTAACTATTTTGTTTGTTTTTTGAACATTATAGTTTACCAAAGATAATTGATTATTGCAATTTGATTTTGATATACTCGTTCACCTTCTGAAAGTTCCTTTAATATCCTTCCTTTTACTTTGTTGTAAAGGCTGGGAAGGACATCTGAAATTTGTTTTCTGCCTGGTATAGTGTATCTAAACTTTGAAGCAGGGCTTCAAATTCTTTGGAATTTACAATGCTGAATGGCCTCATGTCTTTGATGATAAAGTAAGCTAACTTTCTGGTGATTTCTGTGGCCCGAAGTGAATCGGCAAGAAATTTAGGGCCCATCAGGTTCACAAACGTGTGTATAGGCTGATTCAATTTCAGTGGAATCTGCCTGCTTTCTTCAACAGTTTCCACGTAATGCATATTTACTTAGGTAAAGTATCGTTGATGCTTGGGTGGTGGTGACGGATGTTTTAGGTAAAGTATCGTTGACGCTTGGGTGGTGGCGACAGATGTGTGAGATAAGATTTGTTGTGCCTCCTGAATACTTCACCTATGTTTTGCATAGTAAACACACAGCAACGTTTTTGGACACCTTATCATTTTCCCTTTGCATTTTAAAGTGTGTCCATATTTTGGATTTGGCACGTGTTTGTTATCAGTTCCACACCATCCGTCATGCTGTGAAGGTGCTACTAAATACCGAAACATGTACAAACTTAACGTATTTTAGCTCATATTATAATAATACATTGAATTTTGAATAAATATATATATCACCCGGTAACCTGTTTTGATGAGATGCCTTAATTGGTGACTTTTGAATGTTTTATCGTGTCACATGCACTGCAAACTAGAAGCCGAACAATATCTTTTCTAGAGAAGGTTAAGTGAATACTCATTCCTATCCTTACACTCACTGAAACTGGTAAATTGTGACTATGTACGTCAGTTGAGTACGATCATGTCAATGTATTATTACAAAATGATTAAGCTTTAATATCTCGTTTTATTTGATTTAAGATAATCTTATATATATACAAACCTCATGTGCAAATTTCGAAAGAATTTGGTGTTTAGTAGCACCGATACTGTGAATAAGTATGTCAAGAATTACAATCACAAAAATTCTTGATTATAACATTGCGATCAAGCGCTTCAAAGACCATGCAGCGACAGAATGACAATCTCATGTGTTCATTTCACATTTAAACAATTAATGTCAGAATGACATTCTCGTAAGACTGTTTTACATTTAAACAATTTACGTTATTTGTGTGAACAAATATTGTGAAAATAGTGAATTATTACTGATAAACATGCATATTTTAAAGCATTGTGATATACCAGTATTTAGGGATTGCATACCGGTATATTATATCAACCTCTGTACATTGTGGTACACCGGTATTTCAATCATATCGCACAGCACTAAGTCTTCACAGAGATGATTAACTCACTGTTGAGTTGGTGTGCCTATACATTTCTAGTTACCTGAAAAGATGTCCAAATTCAAGAGGACATGTTCCTTTTTATCGTAACATTACAAGTCTAAAGACCCTTTTTGAAACTGTTCAGATTTGTAAAATTCTAGATAATCTGAAAAGTTTTGGTCTATTTTATAGAATATGACTTATTTTAAGTTTTTGTGACAATATAACCATGTTAAATTTTTAACATTTGCCTCTTACCTTTTAGTTTAATGACCTTTTATGTGTTGACGGGCCGTTAAGAATGTAATAGTGATAGTAACATGTGCCTGTTTTTGTTGTCTTTGTCTGTCCTGTTTTTTATCACCAAAGTCTCACATGTAGGTATTGCTCTGTCTTTGTCTGTCCTGATTTCCTCACCAATGTCATACATGTATTGCTCTGTCTTTGTCTGTCCTGTTTTCCTCACCAGAGTCATACATTTATTGCTCTGTCTTTGTCTGTCCTGTTTTTCTCACCAGAGTCTTACGTGTATTGCTCTGTCTTTGTCTGTCCTGTTTTTCTCACCAAAGTCTCACATGTATTGCTCTGTCTTTGTCTGTCCTGTTTTCCTCACCAAAGTCTCACATGTAGGTATCACTGTCTTTGTCTGTCCTGTTTTCCTCACCAAAGTCTCACATGTAGGTATCACTGTCTTTGTCTGTCCTGTTTTCCTCACCAAAGTCTAACATGTATTGCTCTGTCTTTGTCTGTCCTGTTTTCCTCACCAAAGTCTAACATGTATTGCTCTATCTTTGTCTGTCCTGTTTTTCTCACCAAAGTTTTACATGTATTGCTCTGTCTTTGTCTGTCCTGTTTTTCTCACCAAAGCCTTACATGTATTGCTCTGTCTTTGTCTGTCCTGATTTCCTCACTAAAGCCTTACATGTATTGCTCTGTCTTTGTCTGTCCTGTTTTCCTCACCAAAGCCTTACATGTATTGCTCTGTCTTTGTCTGTCCTGATTTCCTCACTAAAGCCTTACATGTATTGCTCTGTCTTTGTCTGTCCTGTTTTCCTCACCAAAGCCTTACATGTATTGCTCTGTCTTTGTCTGGCCTGTTTTTCTCTCCAAAGTCATATGTTTAATTATTGCTCTGTCTTTGGAGCTGTTTACTGTCTAATTACCATGCATTTACTTCGATAAAAAATAATCACATGTAATTTTTACTTTTTAGATGAGAATAAAGAGGGAGCCCAAACAAATGGGTAATTATTACTTTCCACTTGTATATATTACAATAACTGTATATTGTTACATGTATACTGTACTACCTACATAGTTCAAGGTTTCAGATTTCTATGTGTTAAAGTACAATAGTTTATTAATTCTAAGTACTGTAAAATCATTTTTAACACTATCGTTGATAACATTCTACATTACACAACTAACACTATTGTTTATACTGTTCTACATTACACAACTATTAACACTATTGTTGATACCATTCTACATTACACAACTAACACTATTGTTTATACTGTTCTACATTACACAACTATTAACACTATTGTTTATACTGTTCTACATTACACAACTATTAACACTATCATTGATACTGTTCTACATTACACAACTATTAACACTATTGTTGATACTGTTCTACATTACACAACTATTAACACTATTGTTTATACTGTTCTACATTACACAACTATTAACACTATCATTGATACTGTTCTACATTACACAACTATTAACACTATTGTTGATACTGTTCTACATTACACAACTATTAACACTATTGTTTATACTGTTCTACATTACACAACTAACACTATTGTTGATACTGTTCTACATTACACAACTATTAGCACTATTGTTGATACCGTTCTACATTACACAGCTATTAACACTATTGTTTATACCGTTCTACATTACACAACTATTAACACTATTGTTTATACTGTTCTACATTACACAACTATTAACACTATTGTTGATACTGTTCTACATTACACAGCTATTAACACTATTGTTTATACTGTTCTACATTACACAACTATTAACACTATCATTGATACTGTTCTACATTACACAACTATTTAAACTATCATTGATACTGATCTACAATACCTGATCATTACACTTGCTGATATTTAACCTTTCAGTGACACTACAGAGACAACAGAAGCTTCCAAAGAGGAGAAAAAGGAAGACAGAGAAGCAGGAGAGCTGGTAAGATATTCACTGAAATTATGTAGTAACACACATGTACAGTCAGCTGAAATCAGGTAGTCACACTCCTCTATTGTCAACTGAAATGAGGCAGTCACACTCATATTCAATGAACAGAAATCAGGTAGTCACACTCCTCTGTTGTCAACTGAAATAAGGCAGTCACACTCATATTCAATCAACAGAAATTGGGTAGTCACACTTATCTGTTCTGCAGTCAACTGAAATAAATTAGTCACACTGCAGATAATCAGCTGAAATCAGGTTGTGGCCATTGTTTCTGTTTGATGGATGATGTCAAGCTTTTTTGTAGTCATACTTCTCTGTCAATAGTAAGAGTCAAGTTTATTCACTCCTCTCTAGCTATCCCTTATCTGTGGTATACTGATTCAGAACTAAAATCAAGTCTGTCACACTATATTTTTTTGATGATTTGACTAATTGATTAAATCAAGTAATCACAACCACTTTGCTTCAGATTTCATATTTAAATGATAATTCATTATAATGAATGATAATAATGCAATTTTTAAACATGTTTATAACAGTAGAAATGTGTTTTCTTCTTTAATATCAAACTAAATAGTGTAGCATTTCTTAGGTGTGTATCTAAATTCTATAACATTTATTTTTATTTACAGAGTGGTGAGGAAGAATCGCAGGAGAAAGATGATGATGATGATTCTGACGACGACGTTCAAGTGACCATTGGTGACATACAGACGTTTCCACTCAACGAGTAAATAATTTACTGTTGTAGACTAATGCTGAAACTAAATGTTAAAGAGTCAGAATGTTGATGTTGAATTTAGGTCGGCCAATTTATAATGAGGAATGATAAGATATTCTTGTGATTGAATCATAGCTAATTGTACATACATGTCTATTTCTTATATAATGACATAGATAATTGCTGAAGGCTTTGTGACCTTATAAAAAAAGTTTTCAACTTTTGAATGAGTGTTTCCTTATGTATGAGCTTTGTGTTACCATTCACCTTGAACCTTTACTGGATCAATTGTAATATTGTCCAGGATGAGATTCATTAGTTTGATATAATGAAGGAGATAAGCACCAATTGAAAACTATTTTTTGTAAGCTTTCGAAAACATCTCTTTTATTTATCAAGCAAAGAGTTAAAAAAAAAAAATGTATGGTTGTGATTTTGCTGTTCTAATGAATTTAAAATGTGATGTAAGCCTTATTTATACTTACAAGTATGACGATAGAATAATACAGGGTAACCATACACTAATGATTAGCTCTGTTTACTAGAAGGAGCTGTATCAGCAGCATACTGATCAGAATTTGATTATTGTTTCAGAGCTCCCAGAAACTTATTTAAAGCACAAGGTGGCTATCAAAAACCAGCAGGGACAGGTCAGTACAGGATAATGACAGCTTCTTACTACTGTGGGGCATATTTAACAACAATTGTACATTCTCAAATGTCCAAGTACAACTTAACCAGATTGTTGAAATGAGCTATATTACAAAAATGAATCACTTGTAAGTCAAAAGCAAATAAGAGCTTCTTCACCTGAACATCTTGACTTGAGATTTTATTTTAGGGTATACCACACTTGAATTGAATTTTCCTAAAATTAATAGGCAGGAAACTGAATCATTGATGTAAGCAATACATTTTGGAGTCCTGGGGTCAAATAGATAGCCTTTATTTTCTTTCTTTGATTGATGGGAATCATGTATATGAGGTATGTGAGCACATTTAGAGAACATAAGGAAGTTGACCTTGAGTCCTACATGTTTATGTTTATCTTTTTTTTTTGTAAACAGCAGCTGCATCCAAGTCCCAGAGTGGAACAACAACCACAGTAAAGGGGGTTGACCTGGAAACTCCAGGAACTATCAACGGAGTAAACCAGTATGAATTTGATCTGGATGGACTACAGGCTGATGAGAAACCCTGGAGAAAACCAGGTATTCAATAGTTCATACATATTTTCCGTTACATTTTGAAGTTTACTTGCACTTGATGGATTTGTTTGCATGAAATCGGCCAGTATGTTTATTGATAGGATTTATATTCTGTATATTCAGATTTATGGCAATGTATCATTGATCGTGTGGTGTCACCTAACAGTTTACAAGTTCTCATCTGTATCAACAGTTTGCATTTTGAACTGGCCTCTCCACTGGAGCTTATGTTGTCTCTGTGGTGTTGGCGTTGGTGTCTGTGTCAGTGTTGATGTCCGTGTCAGTGTTCGTGTCCGTGTCTGTGTTGGTGTTGGAGTCAGTGTTCGTGTCCATGTCAGCGTTGGTGTCTGTGTCAGTGTTGATGTTGGAGTCAGTGTTCGTGTCAGTGTTGGTGTCCGTGTCAGTGTTGGCGTCCGTGTCAGTGTTGATGTCTGTGTTGATGTCCGTGTCTGTGTTGATGTCCGTGTGAGTGTTGATGTCTGTGTCTGTGTTGGTGTCTGTGTCAGTGTTCGTGTCCGTGTCTGTGTTGATGTCCGTGTCTGTGTTGGTGTCTGTGTCAGTGTTGGTGTCTGTGTCAGTGTTGGTGTCCGCGTCTGTGTTGGTGTCTGTGTCAGCGTTGGTGTCCGTGTCAGCGATGGTGTCCGTGTCAGTGTTCGTGTCAATGTCTGTGTTGGTGTCTGTGTCAGTGTTGGTGTCCATGTCAGCATTGTTGTTAGCGTTGGTGTCCGTGTCAGTGATGGTGTCCATGTCAGCGTTAGTGTCCGTGTCAGCGTTGGTGTCCATGTTAAGTGTTTGGTGCTGTTATTGAATGTGTTCTAGGGTACCGGTATTTGGTTTGAGGGTTGCATTGGGGCTAATGTATTACTTTAAGGATGTCGGAATGAATGATATTTTTGGAAAAAGTATGTTTTTTCGAACATTTGGGACTTTTTATGCAACATCTAATGTTAAGTGTTGAAAGGCATTAGTAAACTCATTTGAAATTTCGTTTGATGGAAACCATCATATATATATTGGTTATAATTAATTACTTCCACAAGACTTCATACATGATGTTGGAGAAAAAAATGTTTTTTTAAACAATTTAGATGTCAACTATTTGTTACAGATCTAATCTAATCAAATCTTATGTCATTTTTTTGTGCAGTGTTGTAAGATATTATTTCTTGTTAAAATATCAAGATACTGGGGTGTATTTCCCTGTTGGTGAAACCACCCTTGTTTGCTTGTTTGAGATTTAGTGATGTGTGGTGTGTTTTTGAACCTTTTGCAGTACTCTTGTTTTACTATGTCAGAGATATGAACATGAATGTTGAAGGACACGAGTGGTGCAGAAAATACTGACAACAGTGTCAGCGTTGCATTACAAGAATGGTTGATCAAATACTGTTCCCTATGTTATTTTAGGTGCAGACATCACAGATTACTTCAACTACGGCTTCAATGAAGACTCATGGCGCTTGTACTGTGAAAAACAAAGACGACACAGAATGGATGCTAACCCAGGATCAGTGACCAGAATCTATGTAAGTAATAGTCATGGTTTTAAAAAAGGGTGGTGTGGACTAGACTCCTGAAGAGCTCGTCTGAACCACAGACTCCTGTAGAGCTGATGTCAACCAAAGACTCCTGTAGGAATCATGTGAACAAGACTCCTGTAGGAATCATGTGAACAAGACTCCTGTAGAGCTTGTGTGGACCGCAGACTCCTGTAGAGCTGATGTCGACCACAGACTCCTGTAGGGCTCATGTGAACCACAGACTCCTGTAGAGCTGGTGTTGACCACAGACTCCTGTAGGGCTTGTGTCAACCACAGACTCCTGTAGGGCTAGTGTCAACCACAGACTCCTGTAGGGCTTATGTCAACCACAGACTCCTGTAGGGCTTGTGTCAACCACAGACTCCTGTAGGGCTAGTGTCAACCACAGACTCCTGTAGGGCTTGTGTCAACCACAGACTCCTGTAAGGCTTGTGTCAACCACAGACTCCTGTAGGGCTAGTGTCAACCACAGACTCCTGTAGGGCTAGTGTCAACCACAGACTCCTGTAGGGCTTGTGTGAACCACAGACTCATGTAGGGCTAATGTGAACTACAGATTCTTGTAGAGCTGGCGTCAACCACAGACTCCTGTAGGGCTAATGTCAACCACAGACTCCTGTAGGGCTAGTGTGAACCACAGACTCCTGTAGGGCTTGTGTGAACCACAGACTCCTGTAGGGCTAGTATGAACCACAGACTCCTGTAGGGCTTGTTTCAACCACAGACTCCTGTAGGGCTAGTGTGAACCACAGACTCCTGTAGGGCTTGTGTCAACCACAGACTCCTGTAGGGCTAGTGTCAACCACAGACTCCTGTAGGGCTAGTGTGAACCACAGACTCCTGTAGGGCTAGTGTAAACCACAGACTCCTGTAGGGCTTGTGTGAACCACAGACTCCTGTAGGGCTTGTGTCAACCACAGACTCCTGTAGGGCTAGTGTCAACCACAGACTCCTGTAGGGCTTGTGTCAACCACAGACTCCTGTAGGGCTTGTGTGAACCACAGACTCCTGTAGGGCTTGTGTGAACCACAGACTCCTGTAGGGCTTGTGTGAACCACAGACTCCTGTAGGGCTTGTGTGAACCACAGACTCCTGTAGGGCTTGTGTGAACCACAGACTCCTGTAGGGCTAGTGTGAACCACAGACTCCTGTAGGGCTTGTGTCAACCACAGACTCCTGTAGGGCTAGTGTCAACCACAGACTCCTGTAGGGCTAGTGTGAACCACAGACTCCTGTAGGGCTAGTGTAAACCACAGACTCCTGTAGGGCTTGTGTGAACCACAGACTCCTGTAGGGCTTGTGTCAACCACAGACTCCTGTAGGGCTAGTGTCAACCACAGTCTCCTGTAGGGCTTGTGTCAACCACAGACTGCTGTAGGGCTAATGTTCAGAAGATACTTAGAAACTTTTACCTCTGTATAAACCTTGAAACATAACTTTCTGGAAAATTGTTTTATGATAATTAATTCCAATTTATCATTCAATATTTGCAATATCGTGGGAAATCTAATGTATTCATATCTCTCTTATTTTAGGTTCATCAGCCAACATCTTCTTTGAACAGAAATGAAAAGAAGGATGTGTTACATCCACCAGGTATGTAATCCATGTGACACTGATAGAAATTTCTTTATCATTGTTGGATTACCTTGTATTTGGTTATTTTCAAACATCACCAATAGAAGTATATTAAGTATATAAGTACTCTCCCAGCTAAACACCCAATCATTAGGATGTTACAGATATCTGGTTGATATTTTCCTTTCTGTGATTTTCTGATGAGTATATGCTTGTGGAATATAAATATAAAAAATGTCAAGTTCCTGCTTTCTCTCAGGAACAATTTGAATTTGATAAATACCTGGGGCTGTTTTGAATTTTTAAATGATTTTTCACATCTCTGATGATGAGTTTCCTGGGAGAGATATTCCTTTTCAATTTAAGTTTAATTATTTTTCTTTATGAGCGAAGTCTTTACTACCTGAAAACGTTTGGTTGATAATTCTAATTATGATTCAATTTTATGTTTTAAATAATGATTATTGTGTCGATGTACAACAAAGCTTTAATACCCTGCGCTTTGATTAAATAATACCTTTAAACCTGAATACTTGTGTAACATCAGGTACAGAAACTCCACAGACAGTTCCTGTGATTGGTTCTCGCGGCAAAACAAATCCGACACCCCGAAAGATGGCTGGAACAATTGATGTTATTGGCAGCACAGCAAGAGACTCAAGACGACCAGACTCGTCCTCCATGGGAGACCCAATTCCTGTAGCTGGGTAATTTGTGAACGAACAGTCCATGGGATACACAATACCTGTAGCTGGGTAATTTGTGAACGAACAGTCCATGGGATACACAATACCTGTGACCGAGTAATTTATGCACATATGATTAGCCATGAAGGACCTAATACCAGTGGTCGTCTTATTTTGTGAAAACATAATAATCTATAAAGAGGGTCTGTTAATTGTGTCAAGGTAATTTGCGAACAACTGAAAAAGTCGTTGAAAGAGCCAAGGATTATGGCTTGATGTTTTGTTACTTACTGATCTTTGTAACTAAATGATGGTCAGCATATTTCCATCAATTCACCTGTAATTAAAGTTTTCTTGACCCTACTATACAAGTTGATGTGCTGCTTTAGAACTATTAGGTTAAGGACTTTCACAAATACGCCGTTAAATTCTGTAAATTTGGGTTTTCAGACCTATACTTTGTAAATGGATTAGGAGTTTACATAAAAATTATGTATGTATATTCTACAGCAGCAGAAAGTCCTATAACACATCAGTACCTCCTCCTGGTATGTCTGTACACCCTACCCAGGGGATGCCCCCTATGCCGGACTACTCTATACCACCTCCAGGCATGACACTTCCCCCAGGCATGCATCCACCTCCAGGTAGGTTTTTACATTGAATCAAGAAATAAATTGTTTTGTGTTCTGTATTTGTACATTACACCAAAAAGAAAGGACTTACAACATAAATATTTCATAATAGAACACTTTACTTTCTCCCCACTTCTTACAGAACTATTATGGTCAAGTAAGTGTACTTTCATTTTGTAAAGTTACATTATAGAGTGCATTTAGATTGCAATTGATCTATTGTGACAAGAGTTACCTCCCTTTACAGGACCAGCACCCCCAGGTGTCCCACCAGGTATTCCTCCACCTGGATTTCCTCCTGTGGAATTTGAGGGTAAGTTTATAGTTTTTTGGGGCCAACACAGATATCAGACCTATCTTTATATGAAGAGGTGGTGCCATTTACGTTGCCAGGTTTTCCTCCAATCAAGTTGTTTGCCTATAACCTATGTAATATTTTCATCATACAATTACTGTTATTTTCCTGATTTCTATGCAATGAATGGACGAGAAAATTATCTATCTTTCACCCAAATCATATTCTTATTGAGTGTATACTACCGTCTGATAAGTGTTTAATTTTGATTTTCCCTTTTAACCAAATACTGATGTCTTCAAATCCAAGAACAGATGAAATGATCTAGTTCTACGTGTCATGTGAAATAATGATCATTTGTTTTGAATATGTTTTGATATCAGATCAACAAGTGATGCAGCTCTCAGTCAGCTGGATTTGCCGAAGAAATGTGTCTAGCATTCTTCAAAAATGTATAGGTTTTTGTGTCGTAGAATGGATTGATGTGATTTTTAGAATGGATTAACTATGAGAATTATAGATGGATATCCCCCCTGTCTGTAAAGGATAGTGATCAGAACAGACATTTTTTTTATATCAGATTTCATGTGTGAATTGTCTAGCAGACAGTGTTGACAAACTTGGTAATCTTGTATATGTAATGGCAGTGATAAAGATTTGGTTGCAAAACATGTGTTTTGCCATGAATGTGCTCTGTCATAATCTCATAGCTTTGTGAAGTTACTTTGTAAAGGCCTTTTATAAAGTAAAAGAACAATCTTATCAGCAGTCCTATTTGCTTTCAGTGCAGACATCTACCTTTATTCCTACACAGACCCAATCACTGTAACTTGTATACAGTCCTATATACTACAATTTGGTGTACTAACCACATATCTATGAATGTAAATATTACAATGTATAGATATTGTTTTGCACAGGAGTACTCTTGTAACAGTAAACCAAGGTTTTGAGACGGACACTCCAGGCCATTCAGACCTGTAAACGGAGGAAAAAACAAGTGATACAAATTTGTAAATAAGTGGTGATTTATTAAAGGTACAATGATATTGTCACATTAATTTTATGATTACACTCTTTGCTTTCCAGCCTACTACCCGCCCACAGGACAGACATCTGTAAGGTAAGTAGATGTGTAAGATGTGTAATTATAAAACTACAATAATTTCCTTGTGCTTTGTTCCATGCCTTCAATTACAATGAGCTTTGCTGTAGACTGTGTGTTCAATTATAGCACACAAAGAATTCTACTGTTTGTCATGAATATCAATTATAGCACACAAAGACTTCTACTGTTTGTCATGAATATCAATTATAGCACACAAAGACTTCTACTGTTTGTCATGAATATCAATTATAGCACACAAAGACTTCTACTGTTTGTCATGAATATCAATTATAGCACACAAAGAATTCTACTGTTTGTCATGAATATCAATTAAAGCACACAAAGACTTCTACTGTTTGTCATGAATATCACTTATAGCACACAAAGAATTCTACTGTTTGTCATGAATATCAATTATAGCACACAAAGAATTCTACTGTTTGTCATGAATATCAATTATAGCACACAAAGAATTCTACTGTTTGTCATGAATATCAATTATAGCACACAAAGACTTCTACTGTTTGTCATGAATATCACTTATAGCACACAAAGAATTCTACTGTTTGTCATGAATGTCAATTATAGCACACAAAGACTTCTACTGTTTGTCATGAATGTCAATTATAGCACACAAAGACTTCTACTGTTTGTCATGAATATCAATTATAGCACACAAAGAATTCTACTGTTTGTCATGAATATCAATTATAATTAGCTTCAATTTAATCACTGAGTTGCAAAAAAAAAAAGGATTAAATTGGTCCTTTACTTTTCTTGTAGTCATTATGATGACAGGAATTTTTCATCCCATACAACTTATACATCCAGTTATAACCAGTCCAATCCTTGGGATAACAAGTAAGTGTATGCTGAATGTATCAGAAACATTTCTTATCACATTATTACATTGTTATTGATGTAGCTACTGTGATTGGTTATTTCATTAGTGACATGAAAACTTCATGGTGTCATATTTATAATGATGTCACTAAAGAACAGAGGGTGGTTGGGTGGCACAGTGGTAACGCACTCGCCTTTCACCTAGCCGACCGGGGTTCGATTCCCGGAATGGACGTGAAAAGGTAAGGGGTCACCTGCCCGACCACGTGGGTTTTCCCCAGGTACTCCGGTTTCCTCCCACAATAAGACCCCTCGCACGCTTACATCCGGGCCAACAAGAGTGATTAGTATAAGTTGACATAACTTGTTTCGCAATTGTTGTAAAATAAATAAAGTTTATATATTTATATAACAGAATAAGCAAGAGTATCACCAATTCCATTAAAATGCTGTTTTCACAAATGCTTGGTGCATAATGAACAGAATCTGGTATTTTTGTCTCGATAAGATTGGGATGGGGAGGAGGGGATCAAACTTGTTTGATTAATCTTCTGTGGAATAGAAACTTGTGTAAGATCCTCTATTTCAATAAGTTTGACTGAGTTTGGCACAATTTGATATTTCAGTCGTCAAGAAGGTGGTTACAGATGGGGCAGTGACTACAGTAGGGAGCGCAGTCCTGACAGATCAGAATCTGAATACAGCAGGTTAGTATTTTGACACAAAATATACATGTAATACAACCATATATCACATCTGTACAGCATTGTAGCTAGATCTGAATCTAGCAGGTTAGTATCTAACAGAGATAATATATATAATACGACAATGTATGACATCTGTACAGCTAGATCAGAATATGAATGTAACCGGTACCTCGTAAGTAACTGACAAGATTAATGCTTCTAGGTATCATATCTCTAGATTTTTATCACAAACCCATTTATTTGGATCAGTTTTCCCACATGTATTGTTTTAGGTTTATATGTGGCTTCTTTTGAACATATGATTTACAAATGGTTGTCGTCTTCATAAAAAGACCAAGATGCCTGTTTTAACCACGCTAAATTCTACTTGTGCTTTCCGTTCTCTTTCAAACATTTCCTTTACTGTAAATAGCCCCCGCAGTGAACGAGACTATAGTTATAGTCGTGCTCGCAGGCGTGACCGCAACAGGTTTGTTTTTTGCATTGTGGATTCTTAAGGCTTTGGGTTGCTCTACACAATCTCTCAATAGAGTACAATAAATTGTGTTGTAAATGATAGAAGACTTGCATTATATTATACAAAAAAAGCAAACAGTATTTCATACAATACTTTTCACTTCTGTATTGCATATTCACAGAAAGTGATGGAAAGTTTTGCTGTCAGGAGTTTAGTACTGTTTTTTGGCAGTGCATAGTTATCTATCAGCATCTTGTTGTAGAACTTGTGTAGGCAATTCAACTGGGTTAAGGAATATTGTTACTTTTGTAGAATAAATTGCAATTTCATACAAGCAAAATGTTCATTCATTCATTTATTCCTTTGCCCCAGATGGTTACATACAAATCATGTGTGATTTGACCGAAGATCACATCACTACCTGACAAGTAAGATGTCACTGCAACAAGTTGGAGGTCATCAAGTACTTCTTTGAGCTAAACAAAAAACCATGATTTTCAAATTGCTTATAGAAACAAAAAAAAACCTGATTATATCTGATTATAAGCATAATAACCACCAAAGTATGCCAACAAGACTCCATTCTATTAACTTTAATGAACATTACATTCTTACTTGGCATGGATGTCAATTGATGGATAAGACTATGTTTTAAAAAATGGTTAAAAGTGAAATGTTGTGTGCATGCCATTGAAATATTTTTAACATCATGTAATTAGGTTTCGACAAGTTTATTGTTTTCTGTGTTTTTTTTTCTTGAAAATGTAATCAGACAAAAAAGGTAAATCCAACTATTTATTTCATTTATTTTACTGAACCAATATTTTTTGTTTGTTTTTGTTTTGTTTTTTTGAAATAGGATAAAAAAAAATTCTATCCAAATATACGTTTCAATGTAACTGCATTTGAAACCTTGCACATAATCATAAACTCAGTTTTTACATGAAACTTCATAAACAGGTACTAATAAATTATTATGTAAAGATTCTTTATACACAACCAGGAATTTTAATATGTGACATTTCGGTGACCAGTACGATCCGTACGCTGTCACCTTCATCAGACAAATGGCCAGTAAAGCATGTACACAAAGGTGTGATATGTGTACGAGTTGTCGTGGAATAGCGTCGATTTCGGACATGCTGACAAGTGCCGAAATGACTGTTAGCGAATAGTAAAACCATTCGGCTACGCTTATTTTATTACTTGGTCATAGATGTGCGAGAGTCTATGAGCCCCCTCATCTCGGTTCAGAACTGCCCCGCTGCGGCGTATCCAGATGGCTTCTTTGATCTGTCGCTTCAGAAGATGGTTCTCCCTATCGAGCACCTTTGAGTTTTCCCAGTCAATCACATGGTTTTCCTGCATGGCATGGTCAGTGATTGCCGATTTGTTTATCTGGGACTCCGACTGCTTCCTCTCTGATCGGGTGAACTTCTTTTCCTCTTGTCTTTCGGTGTCTTTCCGGTGCTCCCCAAGGCGAACCCCGAATCGCCTTCCAGTCTCTCCAATATATGACGTGTCACAGTTTTTGCACCCGATCTTGTATATGCATTCTGCGACATTCTCTTTGGTTATCTTATCCTTAGGGTGGACTAGGATATTTCGAAGCGTCTTGTGGGGCTTCATGGCTGTTGCTATGCCATGGTTGCGGTATATCCTTTGGATGGTTTCAGATATACCCTTTATATATGGGATGACCACCTGGATTTTTGTTTTGTTTTGATCTTTCATAGGTCTTTTTCTGTTTTTTTCTTTATTTTGACACTGTTTTTGTACCCGTTTAAGGGCCCATTCCGGATATTCACAATTTTTCATTGCTTTCATGATGTGGCTCTGCTCTTGAATTTTGTCCTGTTGTTCTGTGACTATGGTCTCACATCGATTGAGCAACGTGCGTACGACCCCTAACTTCTGATGTAAAGGGTGGTGGGATTTAAAGTTGAGGTATTGGTCTGTGTGGGTCTTTTTCCTGTAGACCAATAACTTCACTGTTCCGTCTTCTCTTCTGGCTAATATGTGACGTTTCGGTGACCAGTACGATCCGTACGCTGTCACCTTCATCAGACAAATACACAAAGGTGTGATATGTGTACGAGTCTAGACTCTCGCACATCTATGACCAAGTAATAAAATAAGCGTAGCCGAATGGTTTTACTATTCGCTAACAGTCATTTCGGCACTTGTCAGCATGTCCGAAATTGACGCTACTCCACGACAACTCGTACACATAATAAATCTGAAGAGGATTATGTTTAGAGGTATTATGTAAATATAACCAAGGTAAATACTAGCTGCATTATACTGCTCGACTAATGAGAACTTCTTGTCAGCTTGGTCGGTTGAGCAGAAGACTAGTAAGCCAGAGGTCCTTGGTTTGAATCCTGGTGGAGGCATTGAAATGGATAATGACATCTGTTACATAAAAGGAATTATTTAATTAGAAGATTGTGCAGATGTACTGTATATTACAATGGAAGCAAGGTCCCTGTGGTGGCTGGCTGTATAGCATGACTGTCAATGACCTGGTACCCTGGTTCCCTGCTCCCTGCTGTGGTATTTCTGTATTTCTCTATAGTTGTCTATGACATGTCTTCTGAACTCAGGTTTCCATCTAATATGTTGTTGCCTAAACAGGTGATTCATTATTGATATGTGTTATGAACACAGAATTTTTGTAGAATGTGTTATTTAATCAAGATGAAGATTAAATAAACATAAAGAACAGATATGAGTAATGAAATTATGCTGAGGTGGACTGTTGAAATTGGTGTGCAGTCTATTTTTAATAGGAAAATTATGTTAAACATTCTGCTGCAAATTTTACACTATATGTTGTCATTGTTATATGCTTTGGAATGTGATGTTTCTCTCAAGGAAAATAAGATTTAATTTCCCACTTAAGATTTACATGTACTGTTGGTGTACACCTGTTCGTTTTTTCCTGTTGACTACTGAATGGCTGTCAAACTACACCTGTAATTTTGTTTTACTGTTGACTACTGAATGGCTGTCAAACTACACCTGTAATTTTGTTTTACTGTTGACTACTGAATGGCTGTCAAACTACACCTGTAATTTTGTTTTACTGTTGACTACTGAATGGCTGTCAAACTACACCTGTAATTTTGTTTTACTGTTGACTACAGAATGGCTGTCAAACTACACCTGTAATTTTGTTTTACTGTTGACTACTGAATGGCTGTCAAACTACACCTTTAATTTTGTTTTACTGTTGACTACTGAATGGCTGTCAAACTACACCTGTAATTTTGTTTTACTGTTGACTACTGAATGGCTGTCAAACTACACCTGTAATTTTGTTTTTACTGTTGACTACTGAATGACTGTCAAACTACACCTGTAATTTTGTTTTACTGTTGACTACTGAATGGCTGTCAAACTACACCTGTAATTTTGTTTTACTGTTGACTACTGAATGGCTGTCAAACTACACCTTTAATTTTTACAGGGCTTTTCTGTGTGATACTCTGCCATTACAAATAATTATCTGTTCAACAGAAACTATAAACATACTCTACAGTGTTAGTGTTTTTTTAGATGCAAGTTATCAATTATTTCATCAATCATACAATTTGTGTAATGTTCTAGGGATACTTATTGGAGAGACCGAAGTGATCGTGACAGCTACAGAGATCGTGACCGGTCAAGGTCACGGGAAAGAGATAGGCCGAGAGATCACCGCCATAGAGATGAAAAGCATAGATCAAGAAGGTGCTGTATCATTGTTTCCTTTTTCTTGACTAAAAAATTGAAGAAAACAAGATGTATTTTTAGTAGTATATATGTAGTTTTCTCAAATATAAATTATATTTTTCAGGATATTAAAATAGGATTTCAAATTTTTAAACCATCTAGCAGAATTTATTTTTATAATGTTATCAACTACATGTACCATGAAGTATTTATTATGTAAATGTTGATAACTGTTATGAGAAATGGAAGGTTTTAACCTGGTAATAACACTGAGTAGTGCTAACTGTTTGATGGTGGTGCATTGGCAACACCCTTCCTTTCACTTAGACGGCCAGGATTGGATTTTCTCAATCGTACATACTCGTAAATAGGTATGGAGTCATCTACCATCAGGGTTTTCCATAATTTTGTTAGTAGTAGGCTGTGTAGTGAAAGTAGGAGGCTGGCCTGCCGTGTACGTGTAGTCATGTACGGAACATTATTACTGAACTGGATTGGTGTAGGCGGTCAAATGATCAAAGTAGCCGGTCAAATTGGCTGGCGACCGGCTCTTATGGAAAACCCTGTTCCATGAAGTGTCTGTTTGCCATATGTGCTAGGAGTTCATCCCTCAGTAAACGTCCTTGTGGGCTTCCATTTGTAGTGTAAGCTGGAAGGCAACTTGTTTGGCAGTAAAATATAATTTTGAAGTCAAAGTGTCAGTAGTATTGTTTTTAATTGGCTGTGATTTCTTTTCTGTGACAGGAAACACCGAGATGATGAAGATTCTGACCATCACCGTTCTAAACACAAGAAAAGTAAGAAATCTAAGAAAGACAAAGATGATGATGCTTACGACCCATCTAACCCTAGTCAGGATGACATGGCAAAAGGAGAATAGACAATGCTGATGAACGATATCATGTTATACACATTACTGGACAGTTACCAAAAGCTCCATGTCCTAACAGGACAGATTACAAAAGTTCTAGCTTCAAGTTCTGTTGGAGTTCATGGTTTGTTTCAAGGAAATCTGCTCAAAGGAAGTTATTTCTGTAATTTTCTGTGAGAAAATTGACTATAGTGACATAGATACAAAGATGATCAGTAAGATATCAACAGTTATACATTTCCTCTGAAGAATCACCTGAAGCATATTTCTGAAAATAATTCAGTTTGTTAATGTGGGTAAGAATATAATGAGGAAACAATTTCGTTGTTGTAGCTTTGCATACTGTATAATATCAAAATGTTTTACAGTACATCACAAAATATCATTGAATAAATGTGTAATGCCAATGTAACTCTCTTGTTTTGAATGGTACAGTTGGTTACCTCCCTTGTTACAATGACTTAAGTTCATTGTTCTAAATATTACAGTGGGTTAACCACTTGTTCTAAATGTTACTGTGGGTTAACTCCCTTGTTCTAAGTATTAACATTAGTTAACGTATTCCCACCGGCAGCCCATAATTTACATAACAAAGAAAATAAATATCCCGTGAGAGGACCCTTAATGCTTGGTACGAACGCACCGCGCATGACCCAAAACCTCACTTCCGCTTATGGCAGCCATCACCGACTGAGGAGCGACATTTCTTCTACGGTTTTCAGGCATTTCTTAGTGTTTCACGTGTTATTTGTGTTGTACAGTATCTGTATTTGGTTCTTACATTTATTGTTGACAGGTCTTTCTTCGTGGTTTGTGTTGTCAGTCCCTGTTTTTGCCGTTTTCGGCCTTTCTGTGTTGGTTGGTTACCGCACACGTGGACTGTTTTACGCTACGATACCGCTGTGTAGAAGGCTCTCTCGGTGTCTCCTACTGTTTGTTTTGTTACCATTTACTGCTGTCAACTATTCGGTGTTTTTCACTCGATATTTCTTTTTCTCGTGCGTTGCTGGTCGCTGCCCGCCAAGCAGTATGACATGTAAGAAGGGGCAGAGTGCTTCTAAAACTCGTCAGGGAGATTGCAGTCATGTCATCCTCGATGGGGATGACCATGACTTCTGTCTTTCCTGTCGAGACTGCTCCCGGGATAGACCTTGTTCCGTGTGTTTGGCTTGGCCAGATACCTTGTGGGACAAGGTACTATCCCATAAGTCTGTCACCCGAAAAAAGGGTATTAAGGCTGGGGCAGACAGTAAGCGTCCAAAAGCACAGAGTGGAGCTGTAGTCAGCCTTCCACCTGGCAGTAAGGCCATTTTACCCCCGGAGGGGGAAGTAATTTTGCTTCCTAGTGGTAGGTCCTCTTTGGCTACAGAGGAGCCTACTCACGATCATATTTCTGGGACGGTAGGGTCCTTAGGGTTTCCTATCGTGCTCCAGAAGGGCACTCACTTGTGAATTTCCGTGGAAGTCGAAGGGAGCGAGTGTCCAGGTACCATCTCCGTTAGCGGAATGGCTACCGAACAGGCCAGTCATGCGACCCGGGCACTGCCAGTTACGACGGTGTTACTGGAGAGCATGGAGTGACTTGGTTTCACTTCCTGGTGTTGGGGTTGACTACCCACTATCTGGGTTTGGTTCCAGGGTATTGCACCCTTCGGTTCCTCAGTCTTCCTTACCTCTATCTGGTCCTCCACCAGTTCGAGCTCCTGACTCAGTGGGGTTCTTGGGAGCGCCTGTGCAACCCCCACCTTACCCCTTTCCTCAGTCTGCACCCAGGTTTGGTGGTTATATGCAGTCTCCTGACAGTGTTGGCCATTATCGGCCATACTTGACAGGCATGTCTCCAGTAGGGAGCAATTCATTTCCCGGTCCTGTGGGTTCCAGTATGTTGCCTCCCCCCCAGTATTCTGGCTATGGCCAATGCTGGGGCCCTTCCCAGCCTTTGGGATTTCCATACTCTGGGTATGGTCAGACCCCTTTTGGTTACTCAGGCCAACCTTGGGGTACCTCAGCCTTCTGTCACCAGCCTGGTGTTGAGTCGGGTCCCCCCCTTCTCGCTCTCGCCAACACAAATCTAAGAGGCTTAACCGTCTCTCAAAGATTTCGGCTGACACCCATAAGACCTCGCTTTCCCATAGGTCTAAGCATAGGGTCAACTTTGCTAATCTTAGTGCTGGCCTTTCTTCTGCCTCTAAGGTTAGAAGATTGGAGACTCCGGACCAGTCTGTGACTAGGTCTGTCTCCAGTTTAGGCCGTCAGTCTGATCATGATGAGTCTGAGGACATGGATTGTGAGGAGTCAGAGGCTGAGGTTGTGGGTCAGCAGGCCTTACCTGATGATGGGGGCACTCTGTCACTGGATGCTGGGTCTGATGTTGAATCGGAGACTCGCTCTTGGCTCCCAGCAGTCCAAGTTGAGGGTTCCTGTCAGGAGTCTTCAGACTCCGAGGTGGACTCTCCTGACACCGAGTCAGTCCTTGCAGTCTCCCAGGCTGAAAGGAATCTGGATTCCTTCTGCAGCCTGCGTTTGGAGGTTGCTTCACTCCTCGGCGTGGAGTTTTGCCCTCCTCCCTCGGCTTCGGGTCTTCCAGAGAGGACTTCTACTTTAAGTGCCTTTCTTCCCTCAGAGCCTGAGGTTAGGGCATCAGGTAGGTCATTGGCGGAGGGTACTATGGTTTCCTCAGCATTGGCCCAGATTCAGAAGGTTCTTCAAGCCAAAGGTTCTGCTAATAGGAAGCAGGATCTTTCCGGTTTGCTTTTGGGGGTGAATGATATTGAGGGGTTCAATCCTTCTCGATATGCAGTTCACGACCCCTCAATAGAATCTAATCCAGCTAAGGTGGACCTTCTTTTGGACCACTGCTGGCCTGGAAGATCAAATGACATGATTCATTTGTCTCCCAAAGAGCATAGTCGGATAGAAAGACTGCTTCGCCTTGCCATTCACGTGCTGGCTTATGCAGATTCTTTTTCCTCTGCTTTGTTTGTAGCTTCTTCTCGTTCGGAGGAGAGCCTACCTGACAAGACTAAGCTCTTTGCTGAACTCAGCAAGGCTATGAACCGGGCCCACATGGATGGGACTGCGCTCATTCTGGCAGTTTTGACTGATTTCATCCTGGCTCGTCGTGCTTCAGTCTTGAAGCCAAGACTAACTATTGGAGAGCCTTTTATATCGGATCTCATGACTGCTCCCCTGTCAGGCTCTGAAATGTTTGGAGGGGTTCTCTCCTCTGTCATGGACAGAGTCCACAATGACAAGTCAGCTTCAGCTCGGTTGGAGAAACTTAGGGCTAAGCCTAAGCCTGGACGGGTGCAGCGCCCAGGCAAGCCTAAGAAGGGCCCTAAGATGGCTCAGCCTCAGGCTCAGTCGTCTGTTACCTCAACTTCTCGAGGGGGGCACTCTTCTCGGGGACGGGGTGGTCGGGGTCACAAGGGAGGAAGGGGAGGCAAGCAGAATGCAGGTAAGAGGGGGCAGAGTTCCTGACTCTTTCAGTCCCTCGGTTCCTCCCTGCCCCTTGTCCTGTCGTATGGACGATCCATGGGAAGGTCTCGAGCTCCCAAGGCCAGATCTTCCCGTTGGGGGTCGCCTTTCTCATTTTCTGCCGGATTGGCAGCAGCTTACCGAGGACAAGTGGGCAATTTCGATGGTGTCCGAGGGTCTGGGTATCCTCCTTCTGAAGGATCCCCCTCTATCGGCAGATCCTGTTTTCTTTCCCCCTCCCGGCGATGTAGGAAAGGCTCAGGCCCTCCTAGACGAGGTCGACTGCATGTTGGCAAAGGGTGCCATAGAGGAGCTCCCAAGGTCTCTCTTGACACCAGGCTTTTACTCCCGTATGTTTCTTGTCAAGAAGAAATCCGGGGCCTGGCGTCCAATCATAGACCTGTGCCTTCAACAAGTATGTGGCTTCTCCACATTTCAAAATGGAGACTCCTCGAGGCATTCTGGCGTCAGTTGCACCAGGCATGTGGGCAACCTCTATAGACCTCAAGGACGCTTATTTCCACATTCCGATAAAGAAATCGGCCAGGAAATTCCTGAGATTTACATCCCAGGGCAGAGTGTTCCAGTTCAGGGCCATGCCCTTTGGTCTTACCACGGCCCCCTTGGTTTTTACCAAGCTGCTTCAGGTGGTTGTGGGCTATCTACACAGTCGCGGAGTAGATATCCATATTTATTTCGACGACTTCCTGATGCTGCATCTAGATCCAGAGTCTCTGAGTCGCAGCACCAGGTCAGTCTTGACTACCCTTCTTCGCCTGGGCTTTATCCCTTCTCGAGAGAAATCCGAGGTTTTCCTTTTTTCCAGGACTTTGTGTTCTTGGGAAACCGTTTCCTTACGGATCTCGGCCTCGTTGTTCCATCTCAGTCCAAGTTCCAGAAAGCCAAGGAATTGGTTCTTCTGCTCAACAGTTTGGACTCTATTCAGGTCAGGTGGTTTCTGAGGCTTCTCGGATTTCTCAACTCCCTTTCGGATGTTGTCCCTCTGGGTCGACTCCATATTCGACCTCTTCAGATTTACCTACTGTCCAAATGGAAACCGGCCTCTCATCAGTGGGAGGTTCACATTTCCTTGGACAATTCAGTGAAGGCGTCGGCTATGTGGTGGGCATTGGAGAGCAATGTCCTGAAGGGCGTCTCTCTTCGGAGATCATCCCCTACAGCTACCCTGTATACGGACGCATCTATGACGGGTTGGGGGGCCTACCTCGATGGTCATTGTCGTTCGGGTGTCTGGCAGGGAGATCAACTCCAGGAGCATATCAATGTGCTGGAGATGAGGGCAGTTCTGCTGGCTATTCAGTCTCTGCGTCTGTTGCTTCAGGATCAGTCCATCTGCCTGGCTACAGACAATGCCACAGTAGTAGCTTATCTGGAGAATCAGGGAGGGACAAGGTCTCACAAACTTTGTGCTCTCGCTTGTCAGGTCCTGCTCCTGTGTCGTTCCATGGGGCTTTCCCTAACAGTGAGACATCTTCCAGGTCATCTCAATGTGTTAGCAGACACCCTCTCCAGGTCTCGGAGTCCAATTATCACAGAATGGACTTTGGACAGGTCAGTTTTCAGAGCCATCTGTATGGTGTGGGAGACTCCCCTAGTGGATCTGTTTGCCACAGCTCTGAATTTTCAAATTCAGACGTTTGTGTCGCCTGTCCCAGATCCTATGGCATGGGCAGTAGATGCTCTGTCCCTAAGCTGGGACGGTCTCCTGGCCTATGCTTTTCCTCCCTTCAATCTGTTGGGCAGAGTGCTGCAGAAGGTCAGGGAGCACGACTGCTCAGTTCTTCTGATAGCACCTCTGTGGCCCAGACAGCCCTGGTTTCCTGCTCTTCTGGACTTTTTGATAGACCTTCCATTCGCTATCCCTCCCAAATGGAATCTTCTCAGTCAACCCAAATCCAGACAGTTCCAT